AATTTAATAAAACTACGAAACTTACTTACTTAAAATTTATATATTTCGCGTTTTCAATCGTTATAAATATTTTCTTTTATTTGCATGCATTATTTAAGAATTTGTTATATGAACAGATCATAAGCCGAATTTTTAATAAATTTGCCAATTATTTATTCCTTTAAGAAATACGATCCTCTCCCTCGGGGGTTCCTCAAATCCCCATTCGGGGATCCATGAATATCAAACGGGCATCGCATTAGGGTTCCCAGTTATCTGATCCGGATTAAACTGGTAAAAAGCGGTTATTATTCCGGCTGCCTGAGCAAAATGGGATTTTTTCTTTGGCCCACACCTCGGGACATTGTCGCTGGATTGTCATTGGACTGTGTCAATTTCTTTGTGTTTTTTAATGAAATTAGACAAAAAATTTTAGACTAGTTCTACTTGTATATGGGATGGCACAAGAACTTTTTACACATTCTTTTGTTTTATCACACAATTTTACTACTCTTTGCTTTAGTTTCAGTAAATGTTTGCAAAAAAAATATGTACGCAAAGTAAAAATTACTAAGAGTTATAAGGTTGCAAATCTATAATTACATAACAAAATGCGCTGTCGACCTTTTTTGGTTTGAGACATTCAGAAACCCGCAGACTAGAGCGAAAGTGGGTTACAAAAAGCCGAAATGCCATAACGTCATTCACTTCACAGCATAATTGCAATATTCCAACCAACTTATATATATATAAATATCGATATTTAACAGAAAGACAAGTTTCAGAGAAAAACATTAATTTAAACATGTGAGTCCTCGTGGAAATCGAACCAACGATCCGTTGTTACTTATATTGCTACATTGTAACGAGCACGTGGTTTATTAAATGTGTACCGCTCACGTTAGACCTATCGGAAACCGAACCTACAATCAGTCGTTACTGAGCATATATTTCTATATTGTAAAAAGCACGTGTTTTATTCAATGTAGCGCTCGAAACTACAGATCAAACTGCCAGGATACGAAGGTCCATAAAAGCTCTGATGCTATCTCTCAACATTAGTGGTAATAGTAAAGATAGGATCGGCTATCTTTGATCTACCCTCGGTGACAGTTATTTGTCAAGCTAACGCGACAACTTGACGGGATTCAGTTCAGTATGTTAAGTGCTAAGCCACAAAAGGGAAAATAGTTTTCCTCAAATTAAAAATATAAGACAACTATGAAATACACAAATTCCATGTATCGTACCTCTCAACTAATATTATAAAGCTGAAGAGTTTGTTTTTTTTGTTAGTTCGAACACGCTTATCTCAGGAACTACTGGTTTTGATTTAAAATATTCTTTTTGTGCTGGTTAGAGAATTTATTGAGGAGGAAGCTTAGGCTATAAAACGTCGCACGTGAAATATATTACCTATTTTTACGGCCCGACGGAAAAGAATGTGTTTTTTGTGTAAATTTGCAAATCAAAATATATAGTCAACAGCGCGTTTTGTGAAGATGCTCTTGGCTAGGGTATTTAACTTATTGAGTAAACCCCATGTCTCTTCTCCTCAATCTTAAAAAATATACCATAGAAGTAGGTTTATAAACTGGACACAATAAAATGACTGTTTTTCCAATAATAGCAATGTAAATTGACCACAAAGCAACGCCGGCAACACAAACATAATAACTATAACGAATCGATTGTCACTCGTTTTATTTACACAATGTCACGCAATTAAATATTCAAAATACTTGAAGGGCTCACTTTGCATCTGAATGTCTGTTTACAAAAATAACAATACCGCTGCTTGTGCGTGACCAAATTAATTAAGTTTTGCGGATTTGGTTGACTAAGTTGATTAACTTGAATTTACGTTTTTTATAATGTCTGAAGTAATGTGATTTGTAGCAGCTAGAGGCGATAGAGGTGGTCTCCCCTGACCACGGCTCTGCAAATATCCGAAACGTCGGGCCGAAGTTAAAAATCATTTTCAAATAAGTTTAACTAATATATCGCGTTTTAAACCGTTAAAATGTTTTATTTAAGTGTACTATCGCGTAAACTATAGACAGTATTTAATGCGCAATTAACTAAATTTGTGTAAAAATTATGTTAACAATTTACAGTCACCGTGCTCTTGTAGATTAGCATTTTTCGACTATGAAAATATAAATAACTCAAGTCACAAAAGTTGCAGTTAGGCAACTCTGCCTCTAGCGGCCTCGTATATTAGTAATGACATCGTGTATCGTTTACATAGGTGGATATATGTATTTCTGTGTGTGTTGCAGTGATTGATTTTACTTATACAAACAATGCCACGCTAACCGAAAACATGCCGACCAACCGAAACGCAATACTAGGTAAGGTGTATTAAACTGTTTTAAGTAATTTGATATAATTTTCAGCATTTAAATATCTATAACAATAGAATTTTAATATCCGAAGCAAAAATATATCGCCTGCACATCATGTTTACATGTTATATGGCTGGGGTATTCCACCTACCATCAAGTGAATCTCCTCTATCGTAAAAGAAAATTATATTTGTAACAGCTTACTTACTTAGCTTACTTATTTTACGCGCCAGGAAACCACTCAATAGTGTTAAATATGTTCTAAATTCAAAAATTAAAATCATTTTTTTTAAATACAAGTAATTTATGCCGTTCGAATATTACTTGTTCTAAACGTTTTCACCTTAAAATACGTAAGAACCTGTGAGCAAAGATCAAATACGCCTGGCGGGTGAAAAAGAATGCAAATTGACATAGTCTACCAGCATGTCAAAATTCTAGGGAACAGAAGAGGGTAGCTATTGTCTTCTAATAGTTCGGACTGTGGGGTGCAACCCCACCCAGCACCCTTGTGCTTGCCACCCTCATATTGTAGGTATTGGGATTCGTAGGTAACTTTAAAAGTACCAGTGTCGTAATTCTCAAAAGATTTTAACGTTATATAAAAATTCATTAAACATTTCCTCGAGGGTTCTTACTTTTTTTACTGCATTTTTTTGCCTTAAAATCAGCGTACAAAAAACGATAAAATGTAAAAAGCATAACGCGTAGAAAATGACCACTATAGTAACCTATGGACTTTTTGAATATTTATACGACACTTTTACGATTTAAAATTTGACTAACGATTTATGCAAAACATCCGAATCGTCTGCGTCGGGACGTAGTAAAATTTATTTATATAAAAGAAGTCAACTTTGGCGTTGTTAAAAGTGTTTTTTTTATATGTACTACTCGCGCAATCTACAGACTAACTATTCAATATTATCGTAAAACTGTTAATTTTGTTTATGTAAATTAACAGTTTTACGATAATATTGAATAACATTTAAATAAAGCACGTTTTAACGGTTCAAGGAAAATAATTGCTCTGGTTACAGTACTAATACAATCCGCGTTAAAAACCGTTAAAAGATTGTATTTAAATGTTGCTTATATTTTATCAAGTTAATTAATAAAAATCGTTAGGCAACAAAACTTTTTGAAAAAGATATAATAAAACCTCCTTAGCGACTGGCAATCGAGACTTTTTAAATATTTTAATTAAAAATGAACCGTGGAATGGAACGATTTTGAAGTCTCAATAGATCCGAGCTGCCTAACAGACGGGCGATGATTCGCTTATTTTTCTAAATTTCAGTACAAGCAAAATTTTTGTAAAACTGTTTTAGTTTATTTTATAAGTTTTTTTTTATATATTTTCCATCGGATTCATCAAAATTACTAGTATCTATGATGGTAAGTATTTATTGCATAGTTTCATTATATATGAGGCCACTAGAGCCATAGTAGCCTAACTGCAATTGTGACCGGAGTTATTTATAATATGTTCATAGTCTCGACATTTTAATCTACAAGAGCACAGTGACCGAAAATTGTTAACATAATTCTTACACAAATAATAGTACAAATTCATTTTTGCTCAAGTTCTTATGTATTTTATTAGGCCACTTCGACTATAGCAGTCGCAAGTTTGCATAAAGTTTAAGATACATGGGGTTGCTAACCCAGGTACGCTATAGACTCAACAGACTTACTTTTTTAAATTGATTATATGCTGTATTAGTACTTTCGAAACATACATACATGATGAAGTAAGATAAATTTGGCTATATTATACAATCTGAGTTATCATACACTTGATCGTAAAAGAGGATACAATATTGATTAGGTATTTTGACAAGTAATAAGTGCTTACCCGATAAACAAGCGTTGCTATGGCAATATTTTTTCGCTTAACTCATTAGTATATTCCTTTTATAGTTTGACAGCTAAATACGTCTTATCGATACGTTATAGGAAAACCAATGCGAAATAAAATAAAAACATACTTATTTATTTATAATAAATATTATCCGAGGTGCAACACATTTTCTTTAAATTACAAGAATGAAATTGAATATCAAAAATATATAAATATAATACCAATTAGAAACAAATATTGTTCCAAAACGTTAAAACGCGCGGCGTTTTGGAAATTATTTTAACTACGGCCCGACGACGACGGTTACATTTCGGATGCTTTGCAGAAGCCGTTTACTAAATAAGTTTAACTAATATATAAATAAACAAAATCTTACAAATAACTTATGAAGTAATGGATCTAAATACTGTCTAGAGTTTACGCGAGTAGTACACATTTAAATAAAACAGTTTAACGGTTTTAAACGCGATATAGTAGTTAAACTTATTGGAAAATTATTTTGAACTTCGGCCCGACGTTTCGGATGCTTTGCAGCAGTCATGGTCACGGGGAGTAATAAGATCTATTATTATTGTCAAAATGATCACTTTGTATAACATAGTATATTTTGGGAGTTGACAACATAAGGACAAACATAGTTAAAAAGTCGAAAATAAATTGAAAAAATTTTCGACTCGGGCAGGATTATATAGTGCCTTCATGTACAATAACATGTGAAAAATATTAATGTTTTCATAATTAAAAAGTACCATTTTGCCCATGAGCAGAGGGAGTGCATCTCAGTCCATGTGGGGCAGGCGGGTGTGCAGATGGGTGTGGCCTGCTGGCAGCTCTACTGCCTGGAGCACGGCATCAGACCCGATGGGACTCTGCCCATGTGCGAGACCGATGCGAACGCGGCCGATTCCTGCTTCAATACGTTCTTTTCGGAGGCGGATAGAGGCAAGATGGTGCCCAGGGTCGTGATGGTGGACTTGGAGCCTACTGTTATTGGTGACTATTTGCTTGCCATTAAATACCAGCCGTGCCAGGGACTTCGGTCGCGTAGAATAGTTATTTTGGGCATCAAATTTATAGAATATTTAAAGAGGAATTATTATTTTATCGCGACGGAAACCCTTAAAAATGAATATTTTTTTCCATAATTATATCTCTTTTTATCGCGGCGTGATGTTTTGTTAGCCTAAAGCCTTTCTCGATAAATGACCTCTCTACCAACTCTGTCTCTAACAAAACAATTTTCCAATTCGTAAAAGTAGTTCCTGACATGTATATTTAAACAAATTCTTCAGTTTTATAATATAAGTATAAATATTTCTCCCCGTAGCTGCTAGGGTTTGTAGCTTTAATTCTCACAACAAAAAAGTTAAATAAAGAATGTCAAAAAGAATACATAGATGATGGTGATATATATCCTTCTTGCAGACGAAGTGCGATCTGGTGAATATCGCCAACTATATCACCCAGAGCAGCTCATAACTGGTAAAGAAGATGCAGCCAATAATTACGCGAGAGGACACTACTCTACTGGACGAGAGGTTCTCGGGCCTGTTATGGAGAGGGTGAGGAAGCTGGCTGATCAGTGCACGGGGTTGCAGGTAATTGAAAGGTTTTTTCTTTCGGTTAGTTCATATTTTGTTTTAAAGAAGACAATAACTGGCCTAACAATGTAACTTTGTTCGGTTCAGGGTTTCTTTGTATTCCATTCATTTGGCGGAGGCACGGGATCTGGTTTCACATCGCTGTTGATGGAGAAGCTCTCTGAAGAATTTGGCAAGAAGAGCAAACTGGAGTTTGCCATTTATCCAGCTCCTCAGGTTACATCATCGACATTTATCATCGATCAATAGGGGGAGAATAGAGGGGATAGATGACTAAAATTGAGTTTAGTGACTGGTTGTGTCACGTTATAATTGCAAAGTTTAGTTTAGCATATTTCACTAGATGGCGTTAACGTTCTCTTCGTGCTATAAAAAGTCTTAAAGCAGAATAAATTATCTTATCAGAAATAACAAAAATCTGTTAAATCTGTGTAAAGCGACCTATACAAAGCTATTTCTGGAAATCACCATAAGCAATGCGGACGCATTAATTATTTTTATGTAAGAGGACAAACAAGGTAGTTAGTAAGTTAAATACCCAACAAGATGCGTTGTCAGCCTATTTCTATGGCCTGGAAACGAAACGCGTTTAAACTTTACGGCTTTTTCATCTGGACGGTGCAACGTGATTTCCAAACGAAATCGAACATAATTCAGAAGATTATAAAAAAATCTTGAGTGTTGTTAATACATATTGATGCCATTACACAAACGAGTCTGTAGAAATTGAGTTTTAATTGTTCAATATTTTTTTTTATGTTATTTAAATTTGCTTACTTAATTACTCGCGTAAACTACAGACAGTATTTAATGTACAAAATGCTTGGGGGTCCCAGGAGTCCAAATGACGTAGCTATTATTGGATTTTTTAATTTAGTTGCTTGTTCCTGAATTTCAGGTGTCAACAGCTGTAGTGGAACCATACAATGCAGTGCTGACGACTCATGCTACCATCGGCCACTCGGACTGTGCTTTCATGGTGGACAACGAGGCCATATACGACATTTGCCGACGGCGACTCTCTATTGAGCGGCCGTCCTATGCCAATCTCAATAGACTTATTTCTCAGGTTTGTGTTGTGTTTCTATTCCTCGAGGAACGACTAAGACATTAAAAATTATTTTTTACTAAAAGTAACCAACTTGAAAACAACAGTGAACTACAAAGTCATTTTTTTTAAACGGAATAAGATACGTAAAGGAATGTATGGAAGAATAAATCCTCTTTATATTAAAAAAATCTTGATATTGTCTATCTTAAAATTAAGTCATAAGAACCCATTTATGATAATTAATTATTCGTGGAAATACTCGATATGGCAAAAAAACGTTCGAGATCAAATTTGTACGTACAACGGTTGAATGAAGAGAGCAGCGCCACAAGTGTCAGAACGACGAACTAGAAAACTGGTTTCGCTACACTAATTGTAACTTTTTTTTACTGAAAAAGGAAGGAATAAAATTGGCCTTTTTTAAATGTCTGTTACAGGTTGTTTCATCGATAACCGCTTCGCTGCGATTTGACGGCGCCCTCAACGTGGATCTGACGGAATTCCAGACGAATTTGGTCCCGTATCCGAGAATACACTTCCCGTTGGCTGCGTATGCGCCGGTCGTGTCCTCGGACAAGGTAAGTACCTGTAGTGTATTTTACTAGGGAAAAGACAACAATTGTGGCCGATTTCACACCATAGAGACCCAGTGTTGTTATATTATAGATTGAAGGTGATGACACAGGGATAAATAAAACATCGATTATATGGGGACCTCAGTATTCATCATTAATTTATTCATTTTCAGTTTAATACATAAAATAAAGTGTCTCAGTTTGTAAATCAATGAAACTTTGTGAGAAAATTACGATTTCATGTTAATTGTTTTTGTTTACCAAAAATGCCAAGATAGAAAATACACTACACATACACATGACACAACTTATGTTAAATACTGTCTGTAGTTTACGCGAGTAGTACACATTTAAATAAAATACTAACGGTTTAAAACGCGATATATATTTATAAGTTACACTTATTTGTTGGCTGGTCTTCCCGTGAATACGGTTGCTGCAAAGCATACGAAACGTCGGGCCGTAGTTAAAAATAATTTTCAAATAAGTTTAACATATATATTGCGTTTTGAAGCGATATTTATTTAAAGACGACTCTAATTGTGACACAACAATAATAGCCATGTTTTTACATTCAATTGTATTGGTCCACTTAAATTCTTATAGGTTTAAAAAGCGCAATATATCCGTTAATTTAATTTAATTATGATCCAATGAATGCTTTGATCATGAGAACCACCGGTTCACTAATATATTTGCGTTATAAACCGTTTTATTTATTTTGCACTACTCGCAGAAACTATAAAAATTAAATATTTTTGTATAATTAATGCGTATGGTTTTATGATTCATGCGTTAGTTAGTTGGATATACATTCAACTAACTAAATTAAAAATAATATATACTCGAAAAAAAAATTGCTTAAACAATTTTTTATTACTTAAAACGCAACTTTTTGTACGTCAGTGTTAGAACACTTTAACAGTTTATTTATAGCCTAAGATTATTTATTGTAAGTCTCAAAGGTGTTGATTTTAACATTGCAGAGCTAATTGCTTTGTACTTGAGTTGAAATAAGATACTCTAAGCTTAGAATAATTTTCTTTTATTTAATGTGTTGTTAAAATTTAAATTATGGGAGTTACCTACATTACCCTTTGAAGGTATCAAATATCACAGAAGTTGTAAACTTAATATATTTAGTTCACACACAAGATGTTATGAAATGGGACTTGAACTCGCTAACTACTTAACTTAAAATATGTAGCTTACAGAGTATATGCGGTAGATATGCTAATAATCGTTTAATTTTGAAATACACAACCTGGCAATACGGGTAGTTAATGACCCAGGAGGAATTATCGTTAATCCTACCACCGTTTATTAGCAATACATTGCTACCATTCGATCAACGAGCTATGCAGATAGTTATACTGCGCAAACGGTGCTGTAGTTAAAACAATTTACAATGGCCGTAGCTTAAACAGGAGTCATTTTGTATCGCATGACAGTTGTGGACGTTTCAGGCGTACCACGAGGGCATGTCTGTCTCGGAGATCACCTCGGAGCTCTTCGAGCCCCAGAACCAGATGGTGAAGTGCGACCCGCGCGACGGCAAGTACATGGCGTGCTGCCTCTTGTACCGGGGCGACGTGGTGCCGAAGGATGTTAATGCGGCCATAGCAGCCATGAAGGGGAGAGCGGGGATTAGATTCGTTGACTGGTGTCCCACTGGTTTTAAGGTGAGATGGCGTGGTACGGATCGAAGGTTATGGGTGTGATCCTTAATATGTAGGGTGTACGCGAATCTCACATTTTAAAATAGATATTAGAGCGTATTTGCAAAATTTTAATTGAATCGGCCGAGTAGTTTAGGTGTAGTTTTTATTCGCATTTACAAAAAACCACGGACTATAAGCTATAGGCACGATATGATAATCATTCATATTTGCGAAGTGCGTGTTGGCATTTTTTAATTTAAAAACTTCAAGGTTGCGGTTTTAGCTGTATCAGCGACTACGTCCACGTATAACAGGTATTTTGGGCAACCAAATTTGTTATTGCAAACATCCTCTTCATCTTTTTAAATTTAAACTGTTACCCACAACTATCCTATCGTTTTTGCTTATAGCTGTCCTCAATAAATGCTATAAGACATATAAGCAAACAAACTTTTCGGCTGTATGAATGTATAGATAGATGACAAAAGTCTTTAAAATGCACAGGAGAATGTTGTGCGTTAAATCTGGTGGGACCCCCAGTATGTCTAGCCAGAAATGGATGTTGGTCACTTGTTTTTTATATTTTCATTCACGTGTACATAACTTCTTTATAACGGACAAAAATAAAGCAACGGTGTTATAATTGTCATATATTAAAGTTGGTATTTGTGAGGTCAATTGTTTTCCTTGAAATTAACAATGACTTTAATTTTTTTACATACACCTAGGTGATGACGTCATTGGAATTATTTTGTAAACGAAGCGGATGTAAAAAGTGGCACAATTGTATACTTATTAGATTACATGACTGAGGTCGAACTGTTATATCCTACACTACTATAGGTTCTTTGGGACTAAGCGATTCTACTGACTTTATCAGAAGATCGGTATTGCACTAGCAAATACTATATTAAAATAGCAAATAGCTCAAATAAATGTATCTTAATAAATAATTTAATTGCAATAAATTCGGTTAAAGGTTTATTATAAGCGTTTTCACACAGTCGGTTATAACAGAACTCACGACCAGTCCGTTAAAGTAACCGCCATCAAACTAACCAGATTATGATTTAATAAAAACTCTTACAGTTTAAAACGCGAAATATATTAGCTAAACTTTACAAATCATTTTTAACCTGGCCCGACGTGTTGGATGCTTTGCGTTTATACTTCGCGTTTTAAACTGTCAGTGCTTACTTAAATGTGTATTTCTTGAGTGAACTAGACTGTATTCAGATTATAATGATGGTGATGATGACTATCAGGTGGGCATAAACTACCAGCCGCCATCGGTGGTCGCCGGCGGAGACCTGGCCCAGGTTAAGCGGGCTGCGTCTATGTTGAGCAATACAACGGCAATCGCTGAAGCGTGGGGCAAGCTGGATCACAAGTTCGACCTCATGTATTCCAAACGGGCCTTTGTGCATTGGTTTGTGTACTTGAATCAATCTTGGTGATCTTAGATCGATAAGTAGGGATAGATATACTTATTCATGTATTTATTTAGATTAATTTACCAACGTTATATATACTACATGTTGTTTCTTAAAATAAAAAGATAATTGTAACTAAACAATTAAAGGTACATATGTACACTAACGCGCTAGAATATTCTAGCTGGTATTCGACAGACAGAATTTTAATAGACCATAGAAAACAGACCTTAGGCCTGCTTTAAAGGTAAAGTTTTAGTATTTAAGAACTGTACGGTACCGAATATCCAAATTTACAATAGGCCGACAGCGCAACTCTCGAGATGTGGCTGGGGTATTGTACCTTCCATCAAATGCATCCAATGTTTGTCATGAAAAAAAAACTTGACTCATATTTTCATCATATATTATTTGTTAAAGCATTCATGTAACTTTCTATCAGGTATGTCGGCGAAGGCATGGAAGAAGGTGAATTCACTGAAGCGCGAGAGGACTTGGCGGCGCTGGAGCGGGACTACGACGAAGTTGCCATCGAGACGTCTGACATGCCGCCCGGGTGTGATGACGAGTTGTGACGTGTCGAGTGGAGCCAACGTCTTGTCGCCTTAACCACTTCCGCGCGCTCTCCATTCGCCATGATGTTTTGGACGACTAGTTGCTTTCTGGTGTTTCATCAGCTACTATGATGAACGATGGTTGAGCGTCGACGGCAAAGCGGACGCCACAAAACCGCGGCCCTTTGGTTATAATGTTGATTATGGCAGCAATTGTTGAAATTTATTAAAGGTACGAAAATGTCCGCCGAGGTCGGACGATGCTCATCTTGCTTTGCCTCTGCGTCAATGTGATAGAGCACTCGAGGGATTTATCGACACTAGGGCTGATTCCTATAGATCTATAATATTCGCAGCTTAGTAAGACAACAGATAGTGTAATTTGTTTTCTTTTTCATAATTACTTTATTTATAATGACCAAACTTCAATGACCTTGAGTGCTTTTTCATGTTGGCCTAGCAATATTTAATATAGGCTCCCTCTAGTTTTGTTTTTCTCTGTATTTATTAGAACAATTAATTTGGCAAGTAGCGAGCCGTGGGAGTGCTTAATATTGTAAGCGTAATTGTTTTGTATGTCTGTATTGTTGAAATTTTTGAAAAAAGTTGTATTGTCTGTTTAATAAAATGCATTTACACGTTCATTTCTTTAATTTTATTTTGGTTGTATTCTGAAATTAAACCTTCAATGAAGTGTTTTTACAATTACACTAAAGTATATAGCTTAGGACTAATTTTAGAACTAGTGAAGCTAAAATTAACAATTTAGTAAATTTGTACCCCGGATTTTTTTCCACAGATTGGTCTATTTGAATAGATTATACAATATAATTTCGCATACCTAGTGACTTCTATTCAATCCAAGGAACTTGTATCTACGGTTATCGATGACTATATAGACTTTACACTGCAAGAAGTTTAAACATATTGTTTTACCGACAGAGTAAATATTAAAATTATGTAATAAGGAAAACTTAGTGAACAAGAATGCTAAGAAAATATGGATTCTAAAAGAAAAAATGTTGCTAATAAAATATCTAAAATAATTACTATTATCTATATTGATAAGAATAGTTTCACGTATAATGTAAATAAATATACTAATATTTGAAGAGAATGTCTTTGGTATACACGGAAAGTACCACATAAAAAGCAATGTGTTTATTGGAAAATCTAGCTACTATTTATCATACAAAAAAAACATACACTAAACGATTAACAAAACCATAGTAGGGAAACAGGATTCTTATTTAAGTGTAAAATTAAATAACTAACAATAGACCTATAGGTACGAAAGAAATATGCACTAAGTTACGTTTTACTTAACTGGTCATTTTAACTAGATGTGAATATTGAATTTCAACTATGCTTTCAATTTGTGTGTGTGTTTGATTAATCATTAACTTAGATATGAGGCTTCTAGAGCCAGAATGGCCTAATAAGAAACATGATTTTCAATAAAGAGGAAAAAAATACGCAATTAACTTAGGCGAAAATGAAATTGTATTATTATTAGAGTAAGAACTATGTTAACAATTTAAGAGCACAGTGACCGCTCTTGTAGATTAAATTTTTGTAGTATAAAAATTTTCCTCAAAATTGCAGTTAGGCTACTCTGGCTCCAGCGGCCACATATTATAGTTTTGCAATGTAAAAATATCAACAATTTTCCAATTTTGTCTCTATATAAGTAACTTAAAGTACTTATGTATATGTGCAGTAACTAAATTTATCTTCAAATACCAAGATGCCCGTTCTCCAAACTACAGCTTCCTCTGTGGTGGCGATTCTGATACATTAGGTGTTAATGAGAGACGCCTTATATTTGGTTTGTCATACTCCTCCATAGACATAGCTCGGGACATCCGCCGTTCGACTCCCGGTGGGGGTAGCGATGTCAGCTGACCTTGGCCTTGACAGAAGAGAAGCAGGGACTGAGCGACTTTCGCCGGCTGAAAAAAAGGGAATTTGATGATATTTAATTTTTTATTACTACTTTTTTACCTTAGTTTATGTTCGTTATTCGTTGTTCAATCAATCCTGGTGGGGATCAAACCCACAGCCAATCAAGGTCGTGGGTTTGATCCCCACCAGGTCCAACGTGTTTCTAATTTTTCAATTTATAATTTTGCTGAAACACGTTAGACTTCGTCTGGAAATCTATATATTAAATGGGTGTTAGGAATATAAAAATTCTGTCGGGTCACGTACACGTTCACAGATGAAATCCCGGTAAAGCCTGATCGCGTTACAGTTTCAGTCTATAGATATCGGAATATCCAAGGCCAAAATGGGTCGACAGCACATCTTGTTTAGATGCTATAGGCTATAGGATATCCTCTATCATTAAACTTAACTTTAAAAATAACTTTTTGTATAATTTAAAATATGTTTACGAATCAGCAGTTGCTTCTGATTCTTAATTTTAATATACTCGAGTATTGTTAAATGTTCAAAACAGTTTTTCACTTCCTGCAACGTTAATGAATTGTGAACGGAAAATTAAACAACTATAGATTGTGTATAACTCGTTTTTAATCTATACTAATATTTTAAATGCGAAAGTCTGTCTGTCTGTCTTTAACGCCGAAACTACTAAACCGATTTAAATGAAATTTGGTATACAGACAATTTAGAGCCTGAGAAAGGACATAGGCTTTTTAATGGCAAAAAAGGGTTGTTAGGGGTTGAAAAGGGGGATTAAAGTTTATATGAACATTTGTGGTTTTTGAAGCTAGAACAATGAAACATTCTTCTTTGACTTTTTGGGAGTGGGGGTGAGAGTGGGAGTGATATAAGGTGAGAGAGTGTTGGGGCAAAGTAGCATTTACAACAATGATTGACTGGTTTAAATGCACCCTTACATAAATTAATAAAAACCTTAATAATTAAAAATTCTACCCAGTTACTGTTATAATACCGAAATCGCGGGCATAGCTAGTTATTTATAATTCCTTACTCATATTTCAACCCAGCAAAATAAAAAAAAAAAACGAAAAAACTTGAAACAAATTAGTAAACTTATTTAAATTCAACGTTTCACATGTTTTGCAGTAGCCGTGGCCGACCGTTTTAAACCGGTAAAGTAAAGTGAACGTAAGTAAACTACAGACAATAGGTACTTATAGCTGAATTATTTCCTCATTTTATTTGTATGCCTACTATATGAATATATTATCACAGTTCTACAAAAATTATTAGTTTCCAAGTCCATAACCTTTTGAACTACATTCATTAAAGTTAGTATTTAAATTTTAAACTCATTGTAAATTTCGGCTGTATAAAAAATGTATTTTTTGTCCTTTGAAAAAAAATCTCTTTGTGTTGGTTAGAACACTTATAGAGAAAGGCTATAAACCATCGACTAATAGAAGCGAAGATACTGCGGGAAATTTAACAAAACGGGGGAAAACTTTCATCTCTGTGGGTTTCAGATGCGTACGCTGCGAAAATGATTCAAGACACCCAAAAAATATGTATGATAGAATGATTCCCCTTTAAATGATCTACAAACAGTCCGCGACACTATATGTCTATCTTTTAAGATTAACTTGCAAGAACGATGGGCCCGGACGACAGGTCGTGCGACGCGACCGATTCGTGGGCAGCTTAAATTTGCAAAAATACATTTGGATGCCTGCGCCGACACAGCTAGTATATTCTAAAACTGAAGAGTTTGTTTGTTTTTTTTTTGTTTGTAACGCCATTCTGCGACGAATAGTAGCAAGGAAACAGTGGAAAAGGTGGAAACGGGAAAGTTTTTCATTTTAGAGCGCTATTGTGCGCGTTGCAAAAACGGTTAGCGAACTCAAAAAATTACGGCGTTTTTAAAAGTCACTAGAACCGTTTTTGGTAAACTTTTGCAAAATACTTGTGGCAAAATAATCTTTGTAAGGTCACCTAGTAAAAATAATATGTATTATAAACACCTTACACTTACTTCATTTTATGTATGATAATAACGTACTTTTGTAGTAAGACGTGACAGACCGTGAAACTATGTATCTTCTCTATTATTAATCATAGTTTAACTACTACTACTACTTAACTAAAATTTTCTACGCTCTATATTGAAAAAAGAAAAAAATACTTTGTTTATTTGATTTTTCTAGACTTAAAGACTATTTCACCAGTGTTTTTCACGTATTCAATTCTTGTAATCATAAAAGTAGTGACACGCACAGTAAGCTGGTAAAAGATCCGGAAAGAAGTAAGACAATACTAAGCCGTTTTATGCTTGGTATTTATAGATTATATATATTAGTAAATACTTTTAGGTTGTCTACCTTTTTTATCAATTGTTAATTAAGTTAATATTGGTTTGGTTGGTAAATTGTAAAATAAATAAAAAAAAGTGGCATGACACGTCAATAGTTGGCGTCACATGTAACAATCTCATCATATTTTACAAAGCATTCGAGTATTAGGATATTGAAAAAAAAACATATTGAATAAAATAATTTAATTAATTTTTACCGCGTCCAATGCACAAATTTATAAAGGTAATAAAAAAATTCAAGAGTTCATTAATGATTTGAACATAACGGACTAACAAATATTCGTTTATAATAATATAATTTATCATCAAAAGATTTTCGTTCGAGACATCGACACTGTAGTTGATATTTGGAAGTGAACTATTGGACTTCCGTCTTATCAAGTAGAAGACCTCGTTGTGATAACAAAACCAAACAAGTAGTAATTACGTCTTCCTTGATTTAACAAATTCTTCGTAATCCCTTCGAATTGAAGAGTTTCAACAACCTCTTTGTAACGAATTTTCAATTATCAAGAAAAAGTATTCATACCTCTAATTAACGAATTTTATCAATCCAAAACCTTTATATAAAGTTCCTACCAATATATTATAACTCGTAATCTTACAGTATGTCGCGACATATTTCGACACACTTTTTTTCGTAAAACAATCATTTTTGTTTGATGGAAAGTTATGTAAACACTGCTGTCAGTATTGTCAAGGATTTAAGGGTAAAATGGCTTTACCTCGTTATAACGAATTTTTAACGATTTTTCATCATTTTCATTTCATTTTTTTAATTACATTGTTAAGACTACCAATTCGGGACATAAATTTACTTGCCTTACATTACATAGTAATTAAAAACGTTGCGTGCGATTTCACACCACGGTCTGGTTGAGTTGCATCTCATAATATGGCCCACTTCGATTATTGAACTCTGACATTCAAGAAAACGCAATAAAATACAATTATTTCATCGTGGAGAAATCCTTTCGGATACCCACCGCAGAAGGATAGGTTATGTCAGACTAAAACTGACTAAAACCCCACAGTAAAACCTCTGACACAATTTACTTATAATCTTTTAACACCAAATCACATCTAAATCACATAATATTTTTATATACTAGGTTTACCACCTGGTATATTCACTTACTACTTTTATCTCAGCTGCGTATAAGCCTCTAACCCCCTGCCTGCCTGCCCCCCCCCCCCCTCTTAATTCCACTGAAAATGATTGTGGATTAAAAGTATTACCAAATACCTATCATACATACACGCTAATAAATAACAGTTCCCTAATAATTACTCTATAAGTATATTTATATATACTGAGAATTACAATGACATACATGTCCATATTTATCTATTACAACGTAAAGTATACATATTCTTTACGTCACTTACTCCTACAAAAATTATAATCACCTCAATTCCACATACTTTACGCGAGTAATATACTCTAAAAATCACTTCACCGAATTGAAACGCGATATTTATAACAAACTTTGCCTCTGTGGCGTATTATTTTCAGCTGGCGTGTCTTGAACCACATTTATTGTTGTGAAGTTATAATATATAAATTCTATTTATTCTAACGGCTTGAAACATTGTTCAACTTCATCTGTATCCATTTTCACCAATCGCACTGATTCCTCCCAGAGTTTTCCAGCAGTTTTGTCATCATAGGCTGCCTGTTTCGCCCTGGTCTGTCTGCAGTTCTTGAAGAACTCCCCGCTGACCTCACCGGCCCTTTTATCTAATGCCACATGGATCGCCGTCTGCGCGCCCTCCCAGGGTGTTTTGAAGAGGTTCTTAAAGAAGAACGTGATGATGCTGCCGAAGAACCACCCGACGCAATTGAATATCGTCGTTCCTACAGCTCCAGGATCGACACTGTTAATCACCACAGATTTATTGTTAAGCCGTTTGGTTAACTCGCGAGCGAATAACACGAGGCACAGCTTACTGTTGCCGTAACATTGTATTCCATACCAGTAATTAATTGCGTTCAAACGGTTGAAATTCACCACGCCAACGATGTGCAGAATCGACGATGTGTTCACTATACGCGCTGGTTCACCGGGCTTCCCCGTCTTCAGTAGGAGCGGTAACAGAAGCAGCGTCAGCAGGAACGTGCCGAAATAATTCACTTGCATCAAGCAGTGCATACCGTCCTTCGTCAAGAAGTCGAATCCTATGCCGATACCGGCATTGTTCACTAGAATGTCCAAACGATCCTCGCTCTCGAGAATTTCGTTAGCGAATTTTCGAATAGACGCCAGCGACGACAGATCCAAGAGTTTGAAGATCACTTTCTCGTTCTCCGTCCGTTCGATGATGTGCTTCCTGCCTTGGGTGCCTTCTTCTATGAAGGGGCATGCGACTATGACCTTCGCGCCTCTACTCGCGAAGTCTGTAGCTATGCGCAAGCCCATACCGGACGTCCCCCCAGTGACAATTACCGTTCTCCCTTGCAGATTCCTCTTGGATTTGCATAATGCGTTCGTGCTCTTCTGCCATAGGCCGACGAGAACCGACACGGCGACCGTGATAAATAAAAAATATATGACGGCTAGCATCGCGTCTCGCTAACGAACGCGTAATGTCACCCAAATCTGTGGCGCGCGTGTTATATTGTATATCTCATCAATCTACTCGTGGAATTCGTGTGATTTTAACAAACACTACTGCTCGCGTGAATGGCACAGTGTTCGCGTTGTACAATTGAAGCAACAGCGGCGTCCGACTTACCGATCGGTAAGTTATGCAATCTCCGATGTTGCGTACAACAATTTGCTTTGCGATTTTCGGATTGTTAGCTAATTATCAATATTAATCGATGTGCGCTTTACCGTATTGTACTTATCAACTAATTTATTTACGTTTTTTTTTGTTAAATAGTATATTTGTGTACGGTGTCAATTTAAAACTTGTTTTTTTGACACGAGCGGATTTCGAGTCTACTTGACAGACTAACCTAACGTGTCCCCCACCCAATCATAGGATTTTCTCACGGATCCCTTCATTTACGATCTACATTTTTTTAAATCTTGAATAATTAATTTCAACTACCTTTACCGGTTTAAACCGAGAAATATATAAGATAACTAATTTCTAACTAAACCCCTAAAAAATTTAAAATTATAAAAATTTAAATTGTAGTATCACTTAGTTATTTTAAAATAAGATTTCTTGATCGAGGCACATAAGCTATTGTTTAATAGCTTTTTGTCTTTAATTAAGTCTTTAACGGTTTCGAACGCTAAATGTTTTAGATGATTTTTATATACAACCCAATGTTGCTAAGAGTAATGAGAGATGAGATAAAGAGTGTTTGATTAAATGTATGTCTCGTTTCGTTTGATTAAATGGCATGTTATACCTATCCATTAAACTACATACAATATGTTGTCATTGTTCTTAAAAGTTAATTGTGTCCTTGTCCTCCAAAGTTACCTCATACATAAAATTAATTAATACAACAAAATATATACAAGCCAAACGACATAATTTATATTACGAAATAGACATATTACTAAATTTGTTTAAAAACCAGTTTTATCTCAACATGTAATCAACGTCTACAACGCCGCGTGCCCCGTCATGCGTTCAAGACGACAAGTCCTAGGTTCGAATAACGGAAAAATATGGATAAGTATAATACTGTCTGTAGTTAGTAGTGTACCGACCGTCAAGTCCTGCGAGTCGACTTTTAAATTTTTTTCCGATTTTTAAACATGTAAATAAAACATTTTGACGGTTTAAATGCGATATATATTACTTAAACTTTTTTAAAAATTATTTTAACTTTCGAGATTCTTTTTTATTACTTAAGGAATAATAATTCTTTCATAATTTTTTTTGGTATCTTGAATCTTTTGCAGTACAATCAACGGAAACTTACAAAGATACATCTCCACGATTATTGCATATTTTCCTCCGTTTATCGCTTCTATTTGTTTCAGTCTGACGTTTTATAGCTTATATCCTTCTTCGATAAATGCTCTAACCAACACGAACATTTTTTTTTTATTTGAACCAGTAGTTCCTGAGATTAGCGCGATCAAACAAACTCTTTAGCTTTATCCGTATAGTATAGACTATAGATAGATAAGATCCATACCATATATAAACAAGAAGTAAAGTCACAAAATTCGTCGCATTTATAATTTAGCTGGGTTTAAGTTCCTTACCGCTTCAGCAAGCACGTCGCCAACTTTGTCCACTTTTAATATGGTGACCTTGTCCTTGTCGAGTTCTTTGTACATTTTCTCGACGACACCTGCGTACGGGCTCTGCATGCCAGTTATCAAGAGAATGTCTGGACGGCATCCTCGGAGTATCAGGTCTTTACGACTGTGGAAGGGTGAGGAAATCAACCAAAAATACATGTTTATATAAAACCCTTTAACGGTTTAAAACGCGATATATATAAGTTTAGATTATGCCACGACTGCTGCAATGCATCCGAAACGTCAGGCCGTATTTAAAATAATCTCCAAATAGGTTTAACTAATAAATATCGCGTTTTAAACCGTTAATGTAAATAATGAATATTATGTACTACTTGCGTAAACTACAGAGTGTTAAAAATGTATGGGTAATAGAGAAGCTTATTTCGTTACGTACGGTCCGGAGTTCGATTTTGGGGAAATAGAAACGGGACCTTCTTGCGAATTGTTAATCACACTATACAAAACTGATGGGTTTCATATTATATTTAACATATAATATATAACATTAACATAGTTCAAAGACAAAAATAAAAATGAATTATTAACGAAAATTAAAAACATTTTGGACTCGGTGTAGATCGAACTCGTCATACGTTACATTACTACCATTAGACCAACGAGGCCGTAGAAAATCGACTTTAAACCTGATGGAAAATACTCACTGTATAAAGGCGCGGACATATTGCTTTATATTATGCGTGTTGAGGTTCCCGCGCAAACGAGAACGATATTCCGCTAGCATTCGCTCTCGTTCAGCTACTTCGCACGAATCGCTCGAGATTTGCTGGAATACGTAAATATTTACTTAATTAAACGGCAAATTGTCCCTGTTTTTTTCACATATCCTCGGTTTATATTATCCTATTAGTCGCAGCCTGATCTATTAAAGTCTAAAGCTGTCCGCGATAAATGCGCGGTATTTTGAACACGAAAATGATATTTTAATTGGAAGCCCTAGTTCCTGAGATTAGCGTGTTCAAACAAACAAACTCTTCAGCTTTATATTTAGGTAAAGATTATAAATTTATCAGAATTAAAAAAAAGAACTTCGCAAAGACTGGTTCTTGGTAAAGTCTAGTTAATAGTATTAGGAAAAACACGAAAGATGATTAATAACTCATGTCTTATTTGAAGGTTTTTGGAGGTCAAATCATACGTCGAAACAAAATAAACTTGTTCTAGTAATAAATAATATACTAAGGACAAAGTTAATAAGTTTATGTTTCATAAAAAACGTCGTAACAACGCAAAACACTTGTTGCTCTACCTGTTGGGTAAGGTATATCTATACTAATATTATAATGGTGAATAGTTTTTTTAAACGCGCTGATCTCTGGAACTACAGCTTTGAATTGAAAAACTATTCTCGTTTCGGATAGACCAATTATCGAGGTAGGTTTTAAGCTGTACAAAACCATACTGCGACCATTAGGAGCAAGATATTTTCCATGTTTTATAGTGTTTTTTTCGAGGGAGAAAGTTATTTATCTTTGAGAGTTTACGATGCTCGCCCTGCGGTATCGGTTTTAGATACCAACCAAAATATGTGTGTAAGAATGATTCCTCTTTCAATAACCTAAAAAATATCAACGACTATATATATCTATCTCTTAAGCGCAACTCGCAATAACCGTTTTTGTGGTAATAAAATTTAGTCGAATACTTCATATGGTAAAAAAAACGTTTGCCTGTTCAGCTAGTCTATAATATTAAATGGTACCGAGGACTTGAGAAGTTCGCGTTGGAGCTTTTATATATTTAGACTAGCTGTGTCAGCGACGTCGTCCGCGTATTTTAATTTGTATTTTCAAACCTCCTCTTCATTTTTATAAATTTAAGCTTTGCTCACGATCCCTGGTGCTTGCATGTTAATCTTAAATGATAAACATATAATATCGTGGACATTTTTTAGATCACTTAAAGAGGAATCATTCTATACTGTCTATAGTTTACGCGAGTAGTACACATTTAAATAAAACACTTTAACGGTTTAAAACGCGATATATTACTTAAACTTATTTCAACGTCTCCCCGTGACCACGGCTGCTGCAAAGCATCCGAAACGTCGGGCCGAAGTTAAAAAACATTTTCAAATAAGTTTAACTAATGTATCGCGTTTTAAACCGTTAAAGTGTTTTATTTAAAAGGAATCATTCTTTCATACATAGTTTTTGGGTGTCTTGAACCGTCTTCGCAGCGTACGCTTCAAAACTCACAGAGATGAAAAATTTCCCCCGTTCTGCTCACATCCGCTGTATCTGTTTTATAGCCTATAGTCTTCCTTGATAAATGCTCTAACCAACACAAAAAGAATTGTTCAATTCGAACCCGTAGTTCCTGAGATTAGCGCGTTCAAACAAACAAACTCTTCACCTTTATATATTAGTATATATAGATTTACAATACAAAGGGGACCAAGCAAGTGAAATACCGAATTGACCGAATTTATAAGGTGAACTTTCTAATATGAACGAAAGTCAAGTAATTATACTATATTAATTACAGTTATGCGTTGTTATATGAATTACATAATCGAGGCAATTTACATAAACAAAAATGATGGTTATAATTAGTTAAGTAACAATAATTAGCTTAGCAATTGGGTTGGAAGTAAACAACAGAGATGTATAAAAGAGATTAAACGGCTTTAAACATAAAATACAAAACATGTTTAAATCGTCTGAAACGTCGTGATAATTAACGATAGATTACCGTAAATATTTTGTGTTTAAAACCGTTAAATGATAATAAAACTGTTAAGCATTTTAGCAAACTTGAGGTACATATAATAGATAACAAACAGGTGAAGTAACTCATTGTGTCAAGATTGATATTTAAGAATAATTTAAAATGAGTACAAATTAAAAACAGTTCCTCCAAGCAACGAAAATCATTTCAAGGTACATGTTTTCAAATACAAAGACTCGCATATACTAGAGACTACTAAATAATAAATAATATTACTAAATACTAATATTATATTCTACTAAATGAGAAACTATTTCCAAAGATAGTAACAGTTTAACTAATCTAACAAAGTGATTGCAAGGAACGTGCTTCAAGAAACAAACAAATACGAAGCAAGTAATACATTCCTTACCTCGTTACATAGAATTGGTGTTTGGACTTATATACTTCGTATTATTAAACACTTTTCAATGGTTTAAAACGCGAATAGTATTCGTTAACACATAAGTGGTCACGGCTCTATAAGGAGTTACAAAGTAGGTAGTAATTCAAAATTAATTAATATATTTCGCTTTTTAAAGCGACAAAATTTGGTTTATTTATGTGTACCGTACGTAAAGTGCAGGTATTATTTCGTTTAATATCGATTAGTATTCCCAGAGTATTTTATACTTGTACAGTAGGTATTTTTTTTATTTACCCGTTTCCCCCCGGGGGCGTGAGGCCAACACATTTCTTTAACCGCTTCACTGATTAGTTATTTTACAGGGAAGTAGTTGATCAGACTGTGCCCTGCCCGACCGAAATAATTTCCCGGGGATTCGAATCCAGGATCTCTCGGTTTATTGCAATGCTAGGCAACATGTTTAACTATTTAGCTATAGCTTAATAGCATACATTGTTTCATTTTTGCTTTTTTTATGACAAATTTTTTTTTTTTTTTTTTTTTTTTTTTTTTTTTTTTTTTTCCCCTTTTTTTTTTTTTTTTTTTTTTTTTTTTTTTTTTTTTTTTTTTTTTTTTTTTTTTTTTGTTTTTTTTTTTTTTTTTTTTTTTTTTTTTTTTTTTTTTTTTTTTTTTTTTTTTTTTTTTTTTTTTTTTTTTTTTTTTAATTTTCGACTCGGGCAGGACTTGAACCGGCAAGAGCAACAACGCTGCAACAACCACGGAACGCTGACGATGCCGGTTCAAGCCCTGCCCGAGTCGAATTTTTTTTTAATTTATCTTATATTTTTAAAATAATACGGAACCTTTCCTCATATATTTAACTCGCATTTGACCCGTTATATCTTTCTTAACAAATATACAAAGTATACAAATCGATTATACTGAAATTAAAAAAATAGGACTCGGGCAGGATTTAAACCAGCGTCCAAAGCGTGCCCTGCTGTTGCCCTAAGTTCAGTTGAGGTACCAAGTCAAGTTTTTTTTTTATTCATAAAGCGCCGTCATGTGCACTAACATGTGGAAAAAATAAAGCTTTCAAATGTACAGAGTAGTCCAAACACCAATATAAAAGAAGTTTGTAAGAAAAAGCAGTACCTGATAGCAATAGTGTGGGATCTCTGGTATAAAACTCACGTGTCCAAACTTGTGGTAGATGAGGAAATCTTCCTCTGACTGCGAGATATCGGCACCTCGCCAGCGAGAGAACCTCGACCGGAAGGCGTCCGCCACTGATGATGTGGAGGCGGTGCAGTTCACCAGGATCAAACCTGGAATAACACGAGAAAGGTCCTTCAAATTAATACTTAAGAATAAGACGAAAAACTGTCTGTAGTTAAGGCAAGTAGTACACTATTAATTAACACTTCAACGATTTGAAACTCGAGATTAACTAATTTTTAAAGTCGCAGTTCATCGCGTTTTCAACCGTTAAAAGTGTTTCATTAAATAAGAAATAAATTTACTATATAATCTCCTTGAGATTTTAAATTGTCATCAATTAAAGAAACTATAGTAATATTTAAATTTACTCTATGAAATATAAGCCATATCTATACCTACCTACCTAATATAGATAGGGTCCGTTTGTTTGAACGCACTAAATTCACTGAAAGTACTAATTCGAATTGAAAAATTATTTTTGGTTAGTTAGATCATTTATCAAGAAGGTTAAAGGCTATAAAAAATCACAAAGCAAGACAAAGTGTGAACCGCCAATTTTATAATTGCATAATAATAAAATAATGAAAATTCATAGACTCAAAGCAAGATATTGTTGGCAAAACGGAACTTAGGTACAGATTTTGTTATACTTTTTTTTATAGAATAGAGTGTTCATACTCTCGGCTGTATAAGTGATTGAACGGTTTAAAACATAAATTATAATACTTAATTTAATTTTAACTTTAAACCGACTTTCGTAAAAATATAAATCATCATGATAAATAATTTACGCTAAATCAAATATTATATTTTGCGTTTCAAGGGATAATATAATTTAATATGACAATTAATCTTTATAACGCACAAAATGCAATAGATGACAAAAAAAGCTATTTTTTCTAATTTAAGTATGCACTGTAATGACGTTCATAAATGAAGAACTGACTCGAAACGACTATTGTTCAATATTTCTTACTGTCAATTAGGTAAACACTTTTTGTGATTTTACATTTTGAATATTTCTTATATAAGCGCAAAAGAAAAAATTACAGATGACATTACTTAGTTACGTCAGTGATAACCACTTCCTTATTTATTAAAAACAAAAGATTTACATTTAATACAAAGTTGTACTATTGCACATATACATCCGAAATCTATTTAAACTGAACGTTCGACGGGGGTCGAACTCGCAACCACGAATGGACACGGACACCCTCCGTCTTCAGCCCCCACGTGACCATGGCTGCTGCAAAGCATCCGAAACATCAGGCCGTATTGTAAACCTGTTACAGACCTAGGAGACGCCTCGGATGTGCTTGTCCACAACGAGCCAGGACATTCGCTCCGGCACCTTCACCAAGACCGACAGCGTAGCTGACGTGAAGGAAGTCCAGAACTGTCACAATGTCTTCACCCAAAGTTTGCAGAGATGGGAACGGATAGCTGGAACACAAGAAACATTTTTACATGACATATACTAAACTACCTGTGCCCAGGACTTTGGCCGTGTGGGACAGTTATTTTTGACATTATATTATTTATTTTTGCATTGAAAAATGTGGGAAAATGAAGCGTTTTCCCACACTTCTCCACTGCTTTATAATTTTAGTACTAAAGCTACTCGATAAATGCTCTAAACAAGAAAAAACATTTTCAACTCGAACCAGTGGTTCCTGGGTTTAGCCCCCTCAAAAAAACCTTTTGCTTTTTGTATGATAAAGGACGATCCTTACGATTCAGGCAGATCTGGAGAATTCTCCTCGTGGCCTGGAACATCTACGTGAATAAAACACGAGCGTTCCTTTATCTCAGACATCGCTGGACTGTTTACGAAATCCACCATCGAAGTATCTGGAACATTTGAAAATTTTAATATTTTTCACATGTTGGCACTAGATAAAATCAAAAATCGATTATAAATTGAATAAATTTACGACTCGGGCACAGTATCTCATTTGGTTAGAGCAACAGCACGAAACGCTGTGGATGACGCTTCAAGTCCTGCCCGTGTCGTAATTTATCTATTTATAGTAAGATTTTTAATTTACTTGAAACATTATCGATTATTATTTCATATCATGGTGATTGTCCCCCCGTGACCACTACACGGGCTGCTACAAAGCATCCGAATTGTGGAGCCGTAGTTAAATTAGAAATACCACAGACTGATAGCGACACACGATTAAATTTCACATTTTTTCATCTGTGGTTTTTGGTTCGGCATTCGGAGGGAATTTCGATATTCCTACCACCACTACAACTAATATTCAGATATATAAAGGAAGACAGACAATCGTGGGATTCAGTTCATGCCAGGTGAAATACCAAACATATAACATGTAAACAAGATACGGTGTTACTATTTTGGCTTTGGATATTCGGTCACAGGTTTTAGATCAATTATACACTGATTTGAAGTATGTTGACATGGGTGTGGGTCACGAGCCCGTTGTGAAGAATTATTAGACTTTTTAGGATCTTTGAACACTTACGATTGGTGCCAAGGTCGTGGACTGTGAGAAAAACGCATCTTTTGTCTTGCTGCGATAAATCCCCCTGGAAAGAGAAGTGAAATTGAAATAAGTAATAATAATTGCAAACAATTGTAATACGGTTAGATCCGCTTCGATTAAATTTATAATCTGTTTATATATCATGTTGTTTGTGTCTTTGGTGTTGACCTTTCAATTTAGTATAATTTTATTATAAAATGGGGCATGGGGCTAACTCATTTATGTGTCACTGATCGGTTTTATTTACTGGTAAGTAGTTGATCACACTTCTATGCACTGCCTGACCGATACAATTCATTGTTACATGTGGATTCGAACCGCTCTAGCGCTGAATGCAATACTGGGCAACACGTTTAACCATTTAACTACAGAAGTTACAAATGACCAAAGAATTTGGCCTCTTTTTATGATGTATATGTCTATTTTTATTTGTTTGTGTACGTGTGTTCTCTAAGAACAATAAAAATAATTTTGCATTACGTGTACAACTACGTTTTGCATATGAATATTGAAACAAAAGTTAAGTATAGTATAGAAAAAGATCTAACATATTTTCTATCTATCTATTTTATATATCATATTTAGCTGTATATAAAAAAAAACTATCATTGAAAAGAACGAAATCCACAGACTGAAACTAAAAAGCGAATAAACTAGACGGCTTTTCCATCTGTGGTCGATGGTTCGTGACCCGGACGCAATTTCGATATTCCTACCACCCACCTAAAATCCAAAGGCCAGGCGAATTCCAACATGTTTCAAAAAGAATTACAAATTGATAAAAACATTTTGGACCCGGTGGGGATCAAACCCATGACACTATGGTTATCAGCCAAACATTGCTACCATTACACCAATGAGCTCAAATCAAACTAAGTCAATTTTTAAATATTAATAATAAAATAATATTCCATATTAGTCCCAATTTTGAGTTTTAAAATATTAAAACATGTACAGAATATATAAGCTATGTGAAGCAATAAACGTTATGTTATTATAGTCAGGTTGTCGGATGTGATGTGTACTTATTTAAGTACTCACGTGACCAGGTCCTGGAGTCAGTCCCTTGAGTAGCATAAAACAAAGTACTATGTTTATAATTAATTCAGTTGTTGCTTAAAACAATTATCAATATTTTTTCGACCGATTTCAAAGTAGTTTCCTGTTTTTATTTTTATTTAGAATTCAGGATTTCCCCCTTTCACTTGGAAAGAGACCTTTATATTACATGTATACTTGTTTTTCTTTTCTTTTTTTTATTGCTGTTAACGAGTATTATGTTGTATTTATCACATGGACGCACAATTCTTATATTCTGTCAGTTCTGTCGTTCCGTTTTAACACTGGTTTGGCGATTTCTGTACAGTATGTTAAAAATTGAGGTCTTATTTTCGTATTGCTTATCATTATATTGTAATTTTCTTTACACGTATACATTTCAATGAATCACTTAAACGGTTCAAAACATGGAGTAAACTGGTACTATTTAAACTATTTTTTACTACTACCCGACGTTTCGGATACTTTGCAGCAGCCGTTGTCACGGGGGGTTAATTACTTTTTACGATAGAGAAAGACAGGTAAGTCTACTTAACGGTTTGGATTAAATGGGTGGATGTAATATTAAAATTCCGACCGTCACGAACCACCAGATAAAAAGCCTAGCTTAATCGCGTTTCGGTTTCAGTCTGTGGATTTCCGAATATCCAAAGGCAAAATAGATCGACAACGCATCTTGTTAGATGCTATAGGCTGGGATATATCACCTACCATCAAGAGAACCGTAAGCTTGTCTGTCCTCTATCAAAAAACAAATATATCAAAATGCCTCATTAACTCAATGATTAACATACATACTTAAATAGTTTATTATATTTAAATAAAACAGTTTAACTGTTCAAAACGCAATATTACTTATTTGAAAAAGATTTTTAACTTCGACCCGACGTTTCGGATGCTTTGCAGCAGCCGTGGTCGAGAAGTATTTAAATAATTTTCAACTTTAACCAATATATTTCGCGTTTTAAGCCGTTAAAGTGTTTTATTTAAATGTGTACTACTCGCGTAAACTATCGACAGTATTAATTTATTATATTCTTACTACCGTCATAAATAAGTACCTAAATATAAGTACAAAAAAATAGCAAACTTTCACAGCATTCCTCATTAACAGATAAAGTTGCCGCAAAAAGGGTTTTATTATATAGGTCCCTGGGGATCGTTTTCCCCTGACCTTTCCTTCGAATACCACTACCCGACATTTTCCTAATTTTATTATAGTACTTCGTTAGACTACTATATTATTTATGTAACAATATTAGAGGAGGAATCGAAAATACGAGTTTTCCTGAAACACCACAGCTATATAACATGTAAACAAGATGCGCTGTCGCCCTATTTCTGACTTTGGATATTCGGAAATCCTAAGACATAAAACCGACACACAGTTAACATTCACGGCATTTTCATTTATAGGGACATATTATATATTTTGATTTCCAAACATAGTCCAACATGTTTCAGAAACAATACGAATTTAATAGCAAAATGTCGTCGGGACTCGAACCGGTGACCTGTTGACTAGCCATACGTTGCTACCATTACACTAACGAGTACGTCACGTAGGGGTAAATAAAATGTCTATATTAACTATATACAAGGTTACATCACAATTACGATCTCTGACAAGAGAGATACGACTGAGAAGAAGAACTATATCACATGTTTTTTCTTATTAACATTTTCATCTTACTGATAAAATAATTTGACTATTTATTTAGAAGCTAGACACCGGTACATGTAAAAAAAAATATACATACTTTATTCTCTTTAAAATTTCAAGAATTATTTACATTCGTCAAAAGATGTTTGTCTGTCGTGATTCTGTTGTACACGAGTACGTTACAGACATAGTTAATTATTGTATTTTTTATTTATTTAATATTGAATATAACTAGTTCTTGTGACTAACCACATACAACTTAAGTCAAATTTTTACCAACCCTAACACTCATTAGATTTACGAAATGGATCGATGGTCTAATATATGGTAATCATAATTATTATAGTGTTAGTACCTTATAAGTCTCCAGATGTATAAATAATATCTTACCTGTACATGAACATGAATGTCTCCACTTCTGTCTGTGCTAACTACGTACTTCTGTAACAATTGAGACACATTTTCAAACAATGCTGGTGAAAGCAAGAATCTTAAAGAAATAATAATATATATTAAGATTTTATGAAACGTCATTTCAACTTTTGCAACAGAAGTTGCTTTGTTGTTTTGCAACACGAGTTCTGCCCGTGTTGTTTTGCAACACGGGCAGAACTCGAACTTGTAACACGGCGGCACGGAACGCTGTGGATGGAGGCTTAAGCTTTAAATAATCTACAAATCGTCTGTGAATTCGTTGGTTTTTATGGTAATCAAATTCGTAAAAATACTTCATATGTCAAAAAAGCGTCTACCACGTCAGCTTGTATACATATACACAAGTAAACGCTAATCTCTATTTATTATTTCAAATTTATTACATACGTTATAAACCGTTTAGTACATATTGTTCTCTTTAAGTGTGGCCATAAAACAAGCGTGTGTTTTTCTCGTCTATTTCAGTCGGCGGCGTGTAAATAAGCGGTGCGTTTTCACTTGTAAACAATGCAATGAAAGGTCACCTCTATTGCTGCATAACGAGAGCATTTCTGACTCTTTAGTATTTTTTTTCTATTAAAATGGTGGTAGGAATATTGAAATTCCGTCCGGGTCACGAACCACCATCCGCAGATAAAAAAGCCAAGTTTAATCGTCAGTCTGATGATTTCGGAATTTCCCAAGCCATAATAGGGCGACAGCGGATTTTGTTTAGATGTTTTATGCCTGGATTATCTCATCATAAGAGATCCCCACTTGGGCCCTGACCGCCTCTGTAGCCAAATGGTTAAAAGAGGTCCTGGGTTCGAATCCCATGGAAGCAAAAACAAAAATTGTTTCGGTCGGGCAGAGCACAGAAGTCTGATCAACTACTTGTCCGTTAAAAAAACGGATCAATGATACGGACACAGAAATATGTTCGCCCCATGCCCCACGAGGGGGAAACGGGCTTTCAGTTTTATGGTTGTCGGCCCTCCACTATCATAACAAAAAAACGCACAGTGGAACCACTGGAGCGTGGTGGGTTTATGTCCTTAAATGCCTATCTCTTAAGAGAGAATACGTGTGCCTAGCCGCGTGATATTACAATGCTAAAACGACAATATGCAATGCAAAGTTTACCTTAAAAAGTTTAATTCAATTATTTTTATGTAAGCTTCCTCAAACAGGAAATATTATTCGTTGAATTATTGTTTATAATTAATCGACCAAAATAAATATACTTAGAATTGGCAAACATTGTTTGGTGGTTTGCAAGTTTTAATAAAATATTGATAAGACTCAAAAAAAAATAGTATTAATGCATTAATTTCGATATTACATATACTTCGTTACGTAACGCGCTAAGACGAAAAGAAAAGAGATGAGATGTGCAATATTTTTCCTCGGCCCTATAAATCTACCAGCTTCGTTATATAAGAGGGTCAATTGCTCTGACGCAGCGTCAGGCCATCAACAAGGAATGTAATGAATGGCAACCGTCTTGATTAGTTCAAGGCCTTGGGGGGGATATTTATAAACCTTTCCGACTATGGCTTTCTCTATTTCTTTTATTTATGTGAACTGTATCAAATAATATTTATAGCCTTGTCATAACATCTTAGTAAGTGCGCCGTTGACCTATTTTGGATTTGGATATTTTGACTAACATTATTAGGATAGGTTCAAGTTCGAATTCTGGGAAAGCATAATAGCATAGTGTTTGTAGTCTTGTCTGTAGTTTATTCGAGTTGCACACGTTTCAAAAAATTTTTAACAATTTTAAAACGCGATTTAAAAGGTTCTGAGTTTTGAGTTTCGGCAACCTTAGTACATTTTAATTTGTTTATTATTCACTGTATACAAAGCGAAAAGTGTGAATGACAAATTGTTGAAAAACGACATTGTTTAAGAATAAGTATATACACTTAATAAATGAATTAAAAATCTATTTTTGATTGATAATCATCATCCAAAAAAAAATGGACAAAACTTTAGGTTACATACTGTCTATAGTTTACGCGCGTAGTACACATTTAAATAAAACGCTTTAACGGTTTAAAACGTGATATATTAGTTAAACTTATTTGTAAATGATTTATACTTTGGCCCGACGTTTCGGATGCTTTGCAGCAGCCGTAGTCACGGGGAGATGGGGGAAGTTAAAAATCATTTTAAAATAAATTTAACTAATATATCGCGTTTTAAACCGTTAAAGTGTTTTATTTGAACTTTGGGTTAGGTACACATTCCGCCCGTGACATCAATTTTAATTGGAAGTGTCCATTTAACTGATCAATAAAAAGCATTCTATTGTTTCTCTGGGATTCGAACTCAGGACCTCTCATTTGGCTACGAGAGTCCATGTGCAATAACATGTGAATATAAAATGCCTAACGAAATAAGGCCTTTACGTAACGAAAAATGATATGAATATTTAGACGCTATTTAACGCACTATTAAGCTTTGAAATGACTTTGAAGGATCTTACCTGGACGCATTTATCGTCTGTGTCCGTCATGGTACCGAGCTTGGAACACAACTATCCCGCAAGAAAGCCGTCGCTGGATTGGGAGCGAGGTACAGTATATTTGCATAGAAATAAATTTTCTAATATACGTTGTTAGGTTTATGCATGACCGATACTAATATTTGCGCTCGTAATAATATCCTTGGTATATTAATAGGCAGTGCAATAAACAATATAAAAATATAGTGTAAAAATTATTTTCTATCCCTCCATGACCACTGTTGCTGCTAGATCCGTTACTATTAAAAAAATAAGCTTTACTACATTTGTAATACACATTTAAATAAACCTATTTTAACGGTTTAAAATGCAAAGTTAACTATTTAAAAATTTATAAAAAAAGCATACGAAAAGTCAGGTTGTGGTGAAAGTAAATTGGAAATATTTCACTACTACATTTTGCGTTAGAAGTGTTTTATTTCAACATTTGTATTTAACTACGACACGGAAAGTAAATTTATATTTTTCTTCTAATTACCGTTTGAACTCGGTACAAACGAATATTTTGTCAAAAGGTCCATAAAAGTAGCCGACTGAAAGACGTTTAGATTTTTTTTTCAGTTTTAGATACAAAATCTTTTGCTTGTTGGACCCAAGAGTAGCCTGCTATCTTCATCTGTCTGTATAGGTACGCCTAAAATAACATAAATGTTTAAACATGGTATCGTTCCAAACGACTTAACCGAGCAGAAAGAAACTGGTTAAATACTGTCTGTAGTTTACGCGAGCATTTAAATAAAACACTCAAACGGTTTAAAACGCGATATATATTAGTTAAACTTATTGAAAATTATTTCTACTACGGCCCAACGCTTGCAAAGCATTTGCAACGTCTGGCTGTAGTTAAAAAAAAATCGAATAAGTTTAACTAATATATATCGCGTGTTAAACGGTTTTAAGGTATTTTATTTATAAGAAACTGGTTGTTTGTGCAAGAAATTACAACTATCAGATATGTAAGGAGTGAGGATGGTGGTAGTTAGTAATTGATGCGAAAAAAAGTATTTATTTTGTATTGAATCGCATCGACTGCAATGCACCTTCATACTAGAGTATAAACATCCGAAATCGATCAGAAGGATATCTGGAGTACCCGTCCATTTGACCAATTACCTGATAAATGGGTCGCTGGTAATTGCTTCGACCTTCTTCCACCACAGACTAGGACTCAAACAATCTATTTTACACGCTGAAATGCAAGTTGAGTACAGAATGTTTTACAAAATTTGTACTAAATGTCCGACCACAGATGAAAAAGCCGTGAAAGTTAATCGCGTTTCGGTATCAGTCTGTGAATTTCCGAATATGCAAAGCCAAAATAGGTCGACAACTCATCTTATATGCCGTTAGCCTACCAACAACTGCTTAACCAAGTTTGATAAAATTTAGTGTAGCTGAGACCCTACAAGTTGTCAACATCGCGGGATATATCCACTTATAATCATAAATGTTTTATAGTATGTACATGTAAAAACGTATCAAGATCTTAGTTTTGAAGAAATTGATCATGGTTTTTTCTTACATTTTTTTATTTTATGATTATTATGGACAAGGTCTTATTCCAATTACTGTTAAGCGCCGACTACATGGAGAATAGAGTGTAGATCTCAAAATATTGCTTGACAATCGTAAAAGTTTTTTGTGCAGTGTATATAGACAGATAATGCATTCATCTCTATAATAATTCAGTAATAGTTATAAGCACATTCGCTCTTGGATTAATATCTTTGTGAATCACAATATTAATTGAAATTAATTATAAACACCTCAGAGCAACATATATTGACGAGATAAAGAAAACAAATATAGAAGAGAAAAAATTAAAAAAAATCGACTCGGGCAGCACTTGAACTGGCATCGTCAGCTTTCCGTGCTGTTATGCTGTACACCTCAACGTCGTCTTTTTTTTTACTTATTTATGCACCTCTCGCGCAGTGTAATTTCACCCTTAACACGTGGGTTGAAAGTTAATTAAGGTTCACTGTCTTATGCTTTACAGCTTAAGAAAATCATTGAAGATGAAATTACAAAGATATAGCTATAAAAAATCTTTAATATTTTTCACATGTATTGACATGGTTTTTTTTTTAATTTGATGACATGTAAGTCTCTAATAGAAACTGAATAATTGGGCGAGAGCCATTTCGAAATTTGACCAAATGTAACCCGACATCGGCCGCAACTGAAACCACCGCAATGTTGGTTAGTGCTTGAGACCTGGACGAATGTTCGCCCGTGGCAGGTTTGTGGAACACGGACCTCGCCTTAGGCGGCAAAGGTGCTTTCGCGGACGACGTCGTGACGAGGGTCATCGTAGTCTGACAATAATGTGATGACATTTGTATTACGATACCATTAATTAAAACTATATTGTAAGCCGTTTCAATTCTATCAATAATCGCGCCATGTAGCCCCATCTTAATACTCGAGTTAAGTTATAAATAACTGCGATTTGTATTAATAAAAGTCTCGTCGGTGTCTCTAAATAGAACCAATG